CTCTTCTTATGAACTTTGGGGCGCTTTATCTCTTTAAATTTTCATTAGTTTGAAAAAGTGAAAAATACGTGTAGAGTATTTTGTGATAAGTTAACTGACGGACTAATTAAAACTCTTGCTTTTTGACCCAGGCAACATCCCCATTTAGTAGAACCAAAGTTTCTCAAACTGAGTGTGTGATTTATAAATACATTAAAACGGCTACACTTTCTGTTACGACTATACTCTTGGCCAATGTGCTACACATTCATAGATCTTTTATAGAAAAATTAACTGTCACGGAATTGGGACAACAATTTTTGAAAATACTATTTATTATATTATTGATTCTGAAGTGATGTTTTTATATTTTATCAAACTCAAACAATATTATGAAGATTATATTAACGTACTAAGAAATGTTGGTTCCATAAAGCTTCAAAAAATATCAATAATAACTTGTTTTCTTATATTATCTCATTTTTATCTACTGCATGCAATTATTCTAATTAACACAACACATAAAAAGCAACACATCAGATTAGTAAGCAATAATAAACAGTAAAAACATACACAGACGAAAAATAAAAATAGCTCCATCTATCGAAACTTCTCAAAATGTAGCATTGACAAGTGTCAAAACCCTTATCAACAAATGTGCACTCTTCGACGTGGTACATTTGTTAACTGACAGATACCTGTTCAACGCTGCTGCGATCCTGGTAGCTCTTAACACCTTCGTGATAAGGCCTAATTTCCCATAAGCTCTCTGCAGCAGCTCATGATGTTACTACCATCCCACCCTTAAAGTTAGGTCTGTATAGCCTGACCAGGAACATAAAAACCCTGGCATAGTGGCGCGTCAATTGCATTTGATAGTGCAACACTGAGTACAGTCGTACCTGTGTTAAATTAATAGGCTAACTTTATGTATCAGGATTCAGAATTACGGGTTAATTTAATATTTTCATGAATTAACGAAAACATATTATTATAGGTAACCTGGTTTTAATAAATTAAATGAAACCATCAATCGAGCTAGTAGGATTTATTTTATTATTCATCAATAATCAAATTCAGAACTTGAATATTCAACTGCAATGTCTGCTCATGAACGCTTCAAACTCGGTACTTCTTTCCCAATTCCATAAAATTCAACACTTAGAAAGTGACAAAAAAATTTAAAATAAGTAGTTGAAACAAACCACAGCTAATTTTCATAGTGGACTGTACTATACGATACACATGTCAGTCAATTTGACAACCTTTGTCGGAAACATTATTCAATGAAAATATTGTCCGAACCCTTAGTATTTCTCTTCGTCAAATACTTTAACACATTGTGAACCACTTTTCTTTCACGAGTATGAAAAGATTTTAGCAATTTAATTCACAAAATCAGTTGCGTACATTTAAAATTAAGTTTGTTTACACTTTGACAGCAATAGACTGACATGCAAGGTGACATGTCAATGAAGTTTTCAGTTACTGTTGCCATTAAAAGAAATTAGTACCATTAGTTTTCCGCAACATGGCGAGGGTTTTTATGTTCCTGGTCAGGCTATAAAATATATTTTCTGCACCTAAACTCCTCAATCATAAGACCCATTTTTCCTTACCTTAGCACACACCTTGGCTCTCTTCAGCGGCTCAGGAGTACGGAGGCTTGGAGGACACGATCGCGACCGTAACTTCTCAACCATAAGGTCGAGTTTCCAACACCCAAACCACCACCCATTATAGTGAAATCTGTATATCTGTAAGGCATATTCGTTGAACCTAAACTCTTCAGCCATAAGGCTTATATTCCCTCACCTTAACTCTCTTCAGAAGCTCCTGCTGTCCAGCCAGAACGTACTTAGGCTTCCCGGCTCTGGCTTGGACTAAAGTCTGGAGGGAGCGACCGTAACTTCTCCACCATAAGATCCAGTTTCCCTCAACCAAACCCCCTACCGCTAAAGTTAGACCTGTAAACCACACTAAACTCTACCTAAACTCCTCAGCCATAAGGCTCATATTCCCTCACCTTGGCTCTCTTCAGAATCCTGCTGTTCAGCCAGTACGTACTTAGGCTTCCCGGCTCAGGCTTGGACTAAAGTCTGGAGGGCACGACCGTAACTCCTCCGCCATAAGATCCAGTTTCCCTCAACCAAACCCCCCACCGCTAAAGTTAGACCTGTAAACTACACTAAACTCCACCTAAACTCCTCAGCCACAAGGCTCATATTCCCTCACCTTGGCTCTCTTCAGAAGCTCCTGCTGTCCAGCCAGAACGTTCTCAGGCTTGCCGGCCCAGGCACGGAGCACAGTCGCCTAGAGGGTACGACCGTAACTCCTCGGCCATAAGATCCAGTTTCCCAAATCCAAACCCCCACTAAAGTTAGACCTGTAAACTACACTAAACTGCACCTAACTCCTCAGCCATAAGGCCCACATTCCCTCACCTTGGCTCTCTTCAGAAGCTCCTGCTGTCTAGCCAGTACGTTCTCATGGTACAGAGGCCTGGAGAGCACGACCGTAACTCCTCCGCCATAAGATCCAGTTTCCCACACCCAAACCCACACCTAAGTTAGACCTAGATACCACACTAAACTCCACCTAACTCTTCATCCATAAGGCCCACATTCCCTCACCTTAGCTCTCTTCAGAAGCTCCTGCTGTCCAGCCAGAACGTTCTCAGGCTTGCCGGCCCAAGCACGGAGCACGGATGCCTGGAGGGCGCGACCGTAGCTGAAGGTCAGGGCCCAGGGTCGCTTGAGGTCAACGGCGTTGATGGCGTTCAGGTTGACGGAGGCCTCCTCCTCAGACTGGCCACCGGAGAGGAATGTGACGCCTAGAAATAGGGGGTGTTTTTGATTGGCATATTGACGCAGTGTATACGTCTGACTCTTTTCTATTATTATTAAAACTTTGTTTGTCACCTGTCATCCGCTTTGCAATGGAGGGAAGTCGAACCTTAACTTCGAACTCCTCCTATTAATTTCATTGCGGGTTCAATGAACTGTCATTGACTTAAATTGCCCCCGGGACAAACTTGACCTTCACTGGTTGGGTTTTTATTGTAGATCCTGGCTACACAGGAGTTGCAGCGGTGGGAACGAGAGGTGGCAATAGTCCCGTCTGACAACTAAGGTTGTGTGATCTAATTGAATGGAGTGGACCTACACGAGTGAAGAGGACAACCGGTTCCTCGTAAAAGTTTCAGATAAATTGATCTATCACTATCTAACTAAAGGTGCTGTAACTATCTGAAAGAAAGAAAGAAACTATCTGTACACAGAATGTGAAACCAAAACTTTTAGTTTATCTGGCAGATGAGTTTCTAGCTACAGACTATCAGGCACATTATCCACAAGTAATGAACTCTCTAAGGCCGAGTTGCACCATGTTACCTTAACTTTGACAAATGTCAAAAATCTGTCAAACTCCATACAAAAAGCACCGTTTATTGTTATTGTTACGGTTAAAATAAGGTGGTGCAACTCAGCCTAATTCATCAGAAGCAAAAAAGGAAGATCGTCAGAGGAAATTAGTAATTTGACTGTCAGTATTCTGAAATACAGTATCGCTAAACTACCGATATCGAGGAACAACACTAGTTTTCTTGACTTACCGGGAACGGCAGCGGGCACGGTCCGGAGAAGAGCGGTGACGGTGGCGCGGGCGACGTCCATGGGAGTATACGTCTTCTTGCACGACTGGCCGGCGGTCACCTGGGCAACAAATATCAGTCAATTTCTATACTAAAGCCCGGTCTCCGAGCACGTAGAATTTTGTCCAATGACCTCAAGCTACCCATCCTTATCGCTCGCGCGTAATTATGTTGCTGTCGTGCTCGCACACTCACTGCGGGCAACCGTCTAACTACTCTGTCAACTATGATATGACATGACCCTTTTGTATGAAAAATTAAACATAGTTGTGCCATTTTCAAAGCAAAATCACGATAAAAATTTAGTTAGGAGGACCAATTTTCTCAAAGAATAGACAATGTTTTCGTTTTCTTTTGTTTCCATTTTCTAAAACTTTTGTATTGGTGAAAAAGAATTTCTTGACACGAATGGTGCGTCAAGTGCCATTATTGACGACACTTATGTAGTGCCAAATTTCTCGACACGAACAGTGTGTCAAGCGCCATAGTTGATGACACTTATGTAGTGCCAAGTATAAAAAATACTCTCTTGTTCTCTATTATCATAGTCTAGTTACTTGAAAAAGAGGCTGACAATAGTGACGGAGTTTCTTGCGCTGCTTCTCCTTAGCACTGGCCCATTTATTGTCCCAAAGCAGTGGTAGGGTTATTACTGGGACGTGTAAAGGTGCTTTTTAAAAGCTTACTTGCAAAGAACATTGGGAACTTTAATATGAGAAAATGCCCCACGGCGGACAAAGATGAAACGTATTTTATTTCAAAGCTTTATACTTGTAGGTATATTCACTTAAAGCGCTATGTTGTGAGTTATGGGAATTCTGAGATATGACGAGTCTAAGTTGAAAATATATTTGCCTAAAATGATTTGATATTTTTACATGTTATGTTGTTTGGCATTGCAGAGTAACCAATAAAAGTAAATAAAATAATATAAATAAATAAAAAATATAAATAAAATAATATAAATAAATAAAATATTATAAATACTTAAATTAATATTAGACAACATCTCATATATTACTCCAACCCAAAATAAGTAGCTAAGGCATTTGTGTTATGGAAATCGGGAACGACGAACCACAACACACCCAAACCAGAGACAATGTGAAAATATCGTTTTCTATATTGTCCCGGCCGGGAATCGAACCCGGGACATCAGGATTGGCGCGGCACACCTTGAAAACCGGTGTGTGCGCCTCTCTGCCACGGAGGTCGTCAAAAATATTACCTAAATGTAAAATAAAATAAAATATTAAAACTTCATTTTCTCAATATTCCCATATAAGGGAGAGAAAAAAAATGCACGGAAATTCATTGGATATTAGTATGTATCATCTGTGATAGGTTTCGTTTGTGTCCACTACTTTTCGAAAAGTGGGGCAAAAAGTTCCCAATGTCATTTAAATGAGTTTTATGAGTTTGTTCAGTTACAATCATTGTTAAAAGCGTCAATCTCCCAGCGTTGGGATGGGCTAAACGTGATAAATGCTTACCATGTTGGGCTTCAACAGGGTACCCTCGAGGAAGACATGGTGGTCGCTGAGAGCCTTGTAGCAGGCAGCCAACACCACCTCGGTCACCTTCTGGGCGCGGTCAAGGTCGTGCTCACCTGTAAGGATAAAAATTGTAAGATTCAAAATTAAACTATCGACCGACAGTCTTATCGACAGCAAATCTATCGATACGTAGGAATAGGAATCCAATGATGGAACTCGTCCACGACACCGGCGAATGCTTAGGCTTGATTTCCTCCTACGCTGACGTCGGTCGCGTACATCGGTCGAGCGTACGAATAAACACAATGAACCACCGCACTGCAACGCCGTCGTCAGCGGCAGATGATTACATAGAACTAGTGTGTAATCGTGCGCGCCGCTGACGTCGGTCACCGATGTCAGCCTAAAAGGAAATCAAGCCTTAGATTTGTCCGTAGCTATAAGTTTTTTTTTAATGCAGAACATGGCAAATTTTTGACCACAATCACACCTGACGTTATATGAGATGCAGTCTAGGATGGTAAATATCTGCCCTGTGCTTATTCACTCTATCCTTGAAGAGGCCCGAATTATGGTGTTCGGGAAAGAATGCTAAAGTTCGAATTCCAGTCCCTGTGTCAATCAGATTGCTAAGATGGCGTGACTTGCGATTGATCTATCACGCAACGCCACTTGGCTAAGAGATTCTTTGACAAGGTCAGACTCACCATCAGGCAAGACCTCGGGCTCCACAATGGGCACGATACGCTGGCTCTGGCAGATGGAAGCGTAACGGGCCAGAACAGTAGCGTTCTCCTGGATAGACTGGTAGGACGGCGTGTTGCGACCGATCTTCAGCACGCAACGCCACTTGGCTATGAGATGCTTTGATCAGAGCAGACTTACCATCAGGCAAGACCTCGGGCTCCACAATGGGCACGATACGCTGGCTCTGGCAGATGGAAGCGTAGCGGGCCAGAACAGTAGCGTTCTCCTGGATAGACTGGTAGGACGGCGTGTTGCGACCGATCTTCAGCACGCAACGCCACTTGGCGAAGTGGCAACCATCCTTCTTGTACTGGGCGCAGCGCTGGGCAAGGTCGTCCAGACCTAGAAGAAAGAATAATGTTAGCTTGAACGATTGCCTTTTTTATGAAGAACGTGGTAGGTTCGTTCGTTTCGTTCGTTTCAGCCAAATGACGTCCACTGCTGGACAAAGGCCTCCCCCAAGGTTTTCCACAATGAACGGTCCTGCGCTGCCCGCATCCAGGTACGTGGTACGTGGTAGGTATTTGACCGCAATCACACCTGACGTTAAGTGAGATGCAGTCTTGTGTCTTTTCACTCTTGCCTTGAAAAGGCCCATATTATAGACATGTACTTGATCAACTTACATAACCTTCATCGGTTATTTAATGGCGGTCAAGCTGTAGATCCTGGCTACACAGGAGTTGCAGCGCTGGGAACGAGAGGTGGGAATGGTCCTGATTGTGTATTTTAAAGGTTAAATATTGACGTCTCAGCACAGCATATCAATTAATTTATGTCAATATTTATTGCTTTGTTTTTATCTTATTTTTCTTTATTTGGAACACAAACAGTATAAGTACTAATTAACAATGTGATAAGAAGCCTTTAAACCAATAAAACATAATTAATATGTTTTCGCAAGCAATTCCCGAGTTTATTGAGTAGGTAGTTATGAACTGGAAAAGTTACGTATTACAACTTCTATATGCACAACATTAGTCATTGAAAATTATTTGTCAATGTCAGTTGGCATTGTTTCCAAGATGGCCGTAAGTCTGACACAGACTGTATGCATAAAGTCTGACACAGACTGTATGCATAAATGTTCCATCGGAATATTTCCAACAGCAATCGATTACTTAATGACCCCATTATCCCTGCTATAAAAGAACCCGCCACTTATTTAAGCCCCTAAGTGGTTTTACAGTACCTACTCGTAAACATGATGACAATTTGACATGTGATAAGTTGATAATAAAATGAAAGACATTTTGTCTTGGGTACGGAGATGAAAGACATAGACCATTCCAGTCGTTACATAACTTACACATGTATGAGAATAATATTCACCTTGCATTCATTGGAGATACGCCAAACGTCTAAGGCCCGTATCAAAAACGTCGCTAAAACTTGCTATTTATTTTAAACTTTCATTTCGACCTGTAGCGAACTGTTCACTTAATTTGCAAGCGTCTTCACCATAAGATAACGTCTTGGCACGACGTGCCTGTTTCTATCATAAGATAGACAAGGCGTGAAAGTGTATGTGGACAGCGGAGCAGACAGCTCGTGGAACTGATGACCGTTGGGGCTAAAAGTTCTCGAGTAAGCATGGACCAAAAATACATGACTCGGAGGACCGATGATGTGATGAAGGTTGCTGGAAGAACCTGGATGCGGGTACCGCAGAAGCAATTATTGTGGAAAGTCTTGAGGGGTCTGGAGGCCTTTGTCCAGAAGGCTTCCTAGGATCTGGTGAAGGTCACTAAAAGTTTCTGGATACAGCGCAGGACCGGTTATTCTACAAGTCTTTAGGGGAGTCCTTGATCCAGCAGAGGACGTTCATCGGCTATAATGGTAAATGGGAGGAAAGACGCGAGACTATGGTAGATTTTTACCCTGAGTGCCATGCAGGATTGGTCACTTTGGAAGTCCTGTAGGAATCCTTGGTCCAGCAGTAGACATATTTTGGCTAAAATGAGGGGATATGCAGAGACTACGGTTGCTACTTACCCTGGGTGTGGCACTCGTACGCATATAAAGTGTCAGAAAACCCTTTAAAGGCCTTTAGTCTAGTTGTGGACGTGCTTTGGCTGAAATGAGAGGAAAGACTGGACTGCCAAAGACATGGTACTTTACTTTCTTACCCTGGGTAAAGCACTGGTCTTCAGATCACAGAGTGGACGTCCTTTGGCTGAAATGAGAGGACACACAGACTAAGGGGACATACGAAAAAGCTGCTATCTTCTTACCCTGGGTGGTGCACTCGTCCTCAGATCCGAACAGCGGGACGACGCCCTTGTCGACCTTGATGCCGGGGATGATGCCGCGCTTCTCCAGCAGGCTGACCAGCGGCGTGCCGTCGTCCGCCTTCTGGTACAGCGTCTCGTGGAAGAGGATCACTCCGGAGATGTTCTCGGAGAGAGCCTGGGGAGAAATGATAGCCGTTATAGATCGTTTAATCCACGAAGACGCGTCCCACTTCTTCCGCTAATGTTTGAGTGTTATCGATACACGCTAAATTATGCATAAGTGTACACTACAACAAGACGCTCGGATTGCTCGAATCAAACTTCCCGCACCCTGTACTTCCTTCAAACAAAAATTGGTGGGGCGTGTCTCCGTGGATGAAACGATCTAAACATAATAATATTTGTGAAGACTGGAAATCTGGGGAAAATGTTTAAAGCGAGAATTATTGCTAGATTGTCTATTAGATCCTCAATATTGTTTTATTCAACAACAACGAATAACTACACGCAGGAATATTTAATGAATGCTACTGACGACGCCACTCTAGTGGCAGTTTTGGGCTAATACTGTAATAGTTTTGTTTTTGACACGACAAGAAGATAATATTGTTTTATTGTTTGTCTCAGATGCCCTCAATGTGCGAGGGAGTTTGCCGCGAAGATCGGCCATGTGAGCCATTTTCGGCCATACCAGCGCTGCCAAGAGAGTTAGGAGTCGAAGTGGTCGTGATTTCCGAAATCGGTCGGATAAATCTATCAATCAATTGTTTTATCATCATCACCAGGTCATTTAGTCTCCATTGCAGAAGCATGGTCATTAATTTACCAGAGACGAATAGAGGACAAATCAATCGCCACACTGGCTGGCCGAATTTTTCCGATATTCTGGTTTAAGTATTGAAAATTAAAATTATCAAATACTTGAAACAATTACTTCGCTAGCATAAATTATCTTCGGATATCACTGTTTGAAGAGCAAATGTTTGTGAAATGAGGCTGATCTTCGGTTAAATATGTAAACTGCATTTTTCCATTACATTTATTTGCTTTGTCACAGGCAAAAGTAGACAGTAGGTACAAATAGTGGTGCGAGTGTTTGGATTGTAAAAATAAGTAAGAATTTAAATCTAGCTAAGACGTTTCAAACTTTTTAGAAATTGCAATTCATTTGTCGCTTGACCAAACAAGAGTAAATATTAATCTCAGAATAAATCTTCAGTTATTCGACATTTTGACATATTTCCTATACTGAAATATGTCAATGTGCCAGTTATACCAAGAGTTATTCTCGGATAAATGCTGTAAGTGGACAAATTCCAACTCCCTTTAAAGCACATGCCCAGTCGCTCGTGATCAAGTTTGTATGAATAAGTAATAGATACGCGACGGGCGCCAAACAACTGTAGAACCGGTATGGGCCGCGGCTGCGCACACCCACCGATCCACTAGTAAATAACCAACCAAGCTGTCTTTTGATATGGTATGATTTTAGATGTAAAATATCTTACAAAAATCCCATAGATTAGTTACAAAAACTAGCCTTTAAAAAGTTCAAACTATTACTGTGTTCAATGATTCTGAATCTGATGCATGTTAAGTTTACATCAGTGTTTTCCTCATCTATTGGATGCAAACCCCCGGCTTAAGGCGTCTTATTGCAAAACGGGGTTTGTTGAGCGGTTTCCTAAACAACTCGAAAATTTTATTGGTATGTGTGTTTCTAGATTAAGATATCAGAAAGTTTAGTTTTAGTCTTTATAGAGAGGAAAATTTGAATTTGCTTTAAAATTCTATGATCTACTTATTTAATAGAAAGATAAGTCAAATAATTAACATAGGTAGTAATTACACATTGCCATTTTGTGCCACTGCCAAAGTTCACTTTGTTTTTAATAGATATTGCATAACGGCCCTGTTTGTTTAAAACAAGTAAGTAAATACGATAACAAGAATTGTTTGTTCAACGTGATAAAGCGTTCCGGTGTTCGGAACGATATTAATAAATAGATAATTTATTTGCTGTCTATTTACTCTAAGATAGTTTGTAGGTAAGTAAGTTTGTGGTAAGGTAGTCTCTAAGTACTTAATATCGAATCAATCCTTAGTATGAGTTTACATCAAACCAGTGGCGGCGAAGCATGGGTTGGAACCCGGGGCGAATCAGNCCCCCCGTCACAATTCCTAAGGCACCCCCTGGTACCCCCAGGATTTTGGGGTTACCTAACGATTCGAAGATTGAAAGACAATCGCACCCCACAGGGGGGGTTTATGTCATGATACGGGGGTATCACATGGTACCGCAAATTTGCCATGCAGATGTGCCAGTGAGTACTAATCTGTGCGACTTGTGTCACCCCCTGATGCTTGGCACCCGGGGCGGACCGCATCAAACGCGCTCACTAGTGACAACGTATGATGAACTCACACTCAGCCCCCTGGATTATTAATTTACCGGTCCGGCCAGCATGGGGGTGTAGACCAAAATAATCTTCTATTTACCTCTAGTAAATTGAACAGGGTACCGAGGTGTAGGCAGGGGAGGGTAGTTTCTCCAATTCTTCCCCCATTCAAGTGTCTAATAATGGGGAAAAATCTAATCCCCGCCTAAGTCTACCTCCCTGGATCATACTGATCCAGCCTGGGACATACTATCCCTCTCTCCTGGGCCAGACTGTCAGTCCACCCTGGCTGGATACGCCAGCGGTTGATGGTGGTTCTCCTGCAGTGGAGACTAAATGACCTGATAATGAATGATGTCAAGTGACAGAAAAAGAAGCCTCGCTATAAATACATAGAGTAACTACACTCGCTAATAAATACATAAAGTAAGTAGGTACATGTTTGTCACACACAGAAGAGTTTGATGTTGAATTTCGTAGTCATGTCATGGAAAAAGAAGCCTTGCCTTAAACACATAAAGCACAGAATAATAATAAGTACTACGTACAGAAGTCTTACTTCGCGAAGGTATTTAAAAAAATGTATGCTCAATGTCATTAACAATATGGTGTAATTTAGCCTGTCTCAAGAGTCAAGCACCATTTTGTTGACAAACGTCAGTGATCGGTACTGCGCCGAAGCTATAGGGCTGACTTCGGTAAAATGATGTGACGTGAGGTGCCAAACTGCGGAAAATGGCGGAGGAAATACATGATTTAGCATGAATTATCATGAATAATGAATGTGTTACCACATAAATAATTCATAAGTCTAGTAGATAAGTTAATTTCTGTAACACATTTGTTTGTAATTCCTAAAATAAATAAATAAAATAAAAAATAATAATATTAATTAACTAATTATTTACCTCTCAGTGTCTTGAGGCAACTTAAAAAAAGTACATTCTGTGTTTTTATTATTATTTAGGCAGTTAAATACCGCACAGTATTTAGTACACCATTTTCTTTATTTCCTTCCATCATACACAAGAATACGCGTGCGTGAGTCAATTTTCGCTCGTATGTGAGGCCTTGTCGAATAGTATCCTGTAGGTGGGCCATCGTGCGTGTTTTGTTTTCGATGTAAACTCGCGGAGGTGAACAGGCCTGCATAAAGTAAGTTTTACTATAAAAGGTGTCCACTTACCGGGTCAGTGCTGAACAAGAGCTGGCGGTACTTGCGGCGGTTCTCCTCGGTGTTCTCCACGCCGATGTCCTGGAGACGCTTGCCCATGGTTCCTGAGAGCAAATGTCGAGATTTGGTTACGTGTTATGGTTTTGAGACCATAGTTTATGGTTTGGAGATTCTTCTAAAACCCCGAAAATTTTCCAGGTCTCAGACTTGAGGTCAATTATTTTTTTTAATTATGCAGCGACAAAATGTAGCAACATTACTTTCCACAAAACTCAGAAAAGATACAAATACAAAATCCTAGGCTGTAGGCCTACACACGGCCACACTGTTAACTATCCATTTCCGTTTTTGCTCTCGCTCTCATCAAATGGTGATTCTTTGCGATAGAACGAGACGACATGACCGGCAATGGGTAGTTAACACTGTTGCCGATACTTAGTACATACATGAAAATTTAAAATGCTACCTGCTCTTAAATTACAAAAGAACACGTAGGTCTACAGATCTCTTCATTTATTTCTCATAGTCATGGTTTGGCGGTTTAGGTGTTCCATCACTTCCATCAGCGTTCAATGGAAATATCATAACCACATTTTTTCGAAGAACTTTATTACTTCCTACTAAAGTCGCAACGCAAAAAAAGACTTGCTTGTTCAATCCAAACAGTAATTTTGAACTTTACTCCTTCGTGTTAAGACTTACCAGTGGACTCATCGGCAGCGAGGATACCCTTGCCGGGAGCGACGATCGCCTGCGCGATCTTCTTCAGCTCCTCCTGCAACTCGGGGGTCGGGTATTGGAAGTAGGTGCTCATTGTGGCTGTGGACAACACGGTTTATTAGTCAAACAGTCGAGACATGGCTTACGGGACTATTCCCACCTCTCGTTCCCACCACTGCAACTCCTGTGTAGCCAGGATCTACAGCTTGACCGCCACAAAAACCCAACCATTGAAGGTCAAGTTTGTCCCGGGGGAAAGTTAACAGTCGAGACATGGCATGGGTGTACCCTCGATCCGGTCCAGGGGACAGTTTGATACAGGGTACTGGGTAACAGTCAAAGAACAGTCGGTGTACCCTGGTTCCGGCCCAGAGGTACCGTACGGCTTATTAATCTAACAGTAGTCAGAGACCAGTCGGCGTACCCTGGTTCCGACCCAGGGGGCAGTACTATACGCTTTATTAATCAGTCGGCGACCAGTCGGCTTGGGTGTATCCTAGATCCGGTCAAGGGGGCAGTTTGATCCAGGGGCCGCAAATCAGATATTTTAGACAGGGTAAGGTAATTATTTCAGAGACAAGTCGATGTATCCAGGGTACAGTTTAATCCAGGGGACGCAATGAGATATTTTTAGGCAGGGTAATACGTCAATAGTCTGGAGGCCCGTCAGCATGGGCGTACAGGTTCTGACCCAGGGGAGACGTCTGATCCAGGGGAACAATTAGATATTTTTAAACAGGGTAATGCGTCAATAGTCTGGGAGTCCAGTAAGCATGGGTGTACCCTGGTTCTAACCCAGGGGACAGTTTAATCCAGGGGAAGCAAATCACATTTTTAGGCAGGGTAATACGTCAATAGTCTGGCTGGAGGCCAGTCAGCATGGGCGTACAGGTTCTGACCCAGGGGAGACGTCTGATCCAGGGGAACAATTAGATATTTTTAAACAGGGTAATGCGTCAATAGTCTGGAGTCCAGTAAGCATGGGTGTACCCTGGTTCCAACCCAGGGGACAGTTTAATCCAGGGGAAGCAAATTACATTTTTAGGCAGGGTAATACGTTAATAGTCTGGAGGCCAGTCAGCATGGGTGTACAGGTTCTGACCCAGGGGAGACGTCTGATCCAGGGGAACAATTAGATATTTTTAAACAGGGTAATGCGTCAATAGTCTGGAGTCCAGTAAGCATGGGTGTACCCTGGTTCCAACCCAGGGGACAGTTTAATCCAGGGGAAGCAAATCACATTTTTAGGCAGGGTAATACGTCAATAGTCTGGAGGCCAGTCAGCATGGGCGTACAGATTCTGACCCAGGTGCGACGTCTGATCCAGGGGAACAATCAGATATTTTTAAACAGGGTAATGCGTCAATAGTCTGGAGTCCAGTAAGCATGGGTGTACCCTGGTTCCAACCCAGGGGACAGTTTAATCCAGGGGAAGCAAATTACATTTTTAGGCAGGGTAATACGTCAATAGTCTGGAGGCCAGTCAACATGGGCGTACAGGTTCTGACTCAGGGAAGGCAGTCTGATTCAGGAAGGGGCAAATGAGATATTTTTAGTCAAGGTAATACTTCAAATAGTCTGGAGGCCAGTAAGCATGGCTGTACCCTGGTTCTAGCCCAGAGGAGGCAGTCAAGAAATAAATATGTATGCCCAAAAGCAAAATATTTTTCTAAGAAAAAGAAAATTGGAGGTGTGTCTTTAAGAAATAATAATATCTAATTACCTAACCGGTTTTACAAGTTATCTAGAATAAATTATTCAACATTAGTTGAGTTTACGTCAGCTGGTGGGTGTGTCTATTATTGTTGCTGGGTATCGTACAGATAAAATAAGTGACATTTAACTTTTCCTCCGATAAAGAACTGAGCCGGACTCAATTATCAGTGTAACAATTTTATCTTGATTTTTGTACACTTGAATAAGTGAGTTGAGTAGTTATGTTATAGCTTAAAATATTGATACCAAATTATACTGGTAAACCATTGGAAAAAACTTTAAATTAGTTTCTGTAAGAAGTATGTTTATAACTTCATTAAGTGGGTAATTTAAAATAAAATAAAAACTAATAATCAAGTTAAAAATAGAAATTCTAAAATGAAAAGTTTTGGTGAAGAAANATTTGTTCCTCAGAATGTGTTTTACCGTCTCCTCTGACGAGAACTGGACTTTCAGGGGTCTATTTTTTCCTTTTTCAAATTTACCTAAGCGTATCAACCTTTCCGGGTTAGGACATTGTGGATAGATTTCTAGTAAGATTTTCGATGTCTCGCTTTTATCGATTCCTCTTCTTTCTTCTACATTTTCTGTATATTGCTCGGGGATACCCATCATTATGATGTTCTTGCTTCGTATTTCACGTTCTCGAATTTCCATAATTACGTCTTCGCATATCAAATTTGGTGACTGTGAATGCGAATCAGTGGGCTTACTGTTCTTGAGTGCCTTAAGATCTTCCTCAAGGTTTTGTATTTTTTCTTGGGTATTACTGACACTATCTGTAAGATTCGTAATTTGTGTCTTGATATTGTTATTTTCCGTAATCAGAAGCTCAGTTGTGTTTTTTATATCGGTTAGTTGTTCTTTTATTGATGATATATCATTTTTTATTGTGGTTATACCTTCAATTTGTGATCTACCAAATTCTCTCAAAAGTCCCATCATTTCCCTTTTAAATTCATCAAATTGGTGCGTTAAGTCATCATCTGGCTTCTTTCTCCTTCTAGAAGATATATTTCTAGATTCCAGTTCTGAGACGTCGAGTTTTGTTAGATCAAGTTGCGAGCTACTGCTTCCACCTTCAGCATGTACACTATTTGTCGGTGATCGTGTTACACTCATGTTCACTTTCTGATTATATTATCGCTTTGGTTGGATGCGAAGGTTTAGATGCGCGTGCGGCGGATGTTGGCGGGAACAGCCGAGCAGCTCCGACTCGGCGTCTGCTTCTCTCGTTTTAACGCTAGTGAGACACTCGCGAGTAACTATCGAAAGTACACCATATATTCAGCGCGCTAACGTTGTAAACTGATCGTATTATTTATTAATTTTTTGTAGTCAACCAAACACACGTCTGCGTTCTATGCTAGTCGGACAGAAAAAGGTATATATCCTAAATAATTAACATAGGTAGTAATTACACATTGCTATTTTGTGCCACTGCCAAAGTTCACTTTGTTTTTAATAGATATTGCATAACGGCCCTGTTTGTTTAAAACAAGTAAGTAAATACGATAACAAGAATTGTTTGTTCAACGTGATAAAGCGTTCCGGTGTTCGGAACGATATTAATAAATAGATAATTTATTTGCTGTCTATTTACTCTAAGATAGTTTGTAGGTAAGTAAGGGGCCATCCATAAAGTACGTCACACGAATTTCATGATTTTTTGAGCCCCCCTCCGTCCTTGTCACAGGTGGTCACATTTCTGAGACCCCCCCTCCCTAGTGTGACGTCACATGTTTTGAAATTTCACATCGAAAAATTATTAAATTAACAGCAGTTCCAAAATTAGTTTTACTTCCATTTAAATTAAGTACTTTTTTTATGAAATCAACATTATATCAAATAATTGAAATGTGATGTCACGAAACTTAGAACCCCTCCCACCCCTTGTCACACCATGTCACACTTTGTCGACCCCCTCCCCCCCTCTTTACGTGTGACGTACTTTATGGATGACCCCTAAGTTTGTGGTAAGGTAGTCTCTAAGTACTTAATATCGAATCAATCCTTAGTATGAGTTTACATCAAACCAGTGGCGGCGAAGCATGGGTTGGCACCCGGGGCGAATCAGCCCCCCCCCCCCCCCCCCCCCCATTCTTCCCTCCCCCCCCCCCGTCACAATTCCTAAGGCACCCCCTGGTACCCCCAGGATTTTGGGGTTACCTAACGATTCGAAGATTGAAAGACAATCGCACCCCACAGGGGGGGTTTATGTCATGATACGGGGGTATCACATGGTACCGCAAATTTGCCATGCAGATGTGCCAGTGAGTACTAATCTGTGCGACTTGTGTCACCCCCTGATGCTTGGCACCCGGGGCGGACCGCATCAAACGCGCTCACTAGTGACAACGTATGATGAACTCACACTCAGCCCCCTGGATTATTAATTTACCGGTCCGGCCAGCATGGGGGTGTAGACCAAAATAATCTTCTATTTACCTCTAGTAAATTGAACAGGGTACCGAGGTGTAGGCAGGGGAGGGTAGTTTCTCCCATTCCTCCCCCCTTCAAGTGTCTAATAATGGGGAAAAATCTAATCCCCGCCTAAGTCTACCTCCCTGGATCATACTGATCCAGCCTGGGACATACTATCCCTCTCTCCTGGGCCAGACTGTCAGTCCACCCAGGCTGAAAAGCTGGATACGCCAGCGGTTGAGGGTGGTTCTCCTGCAGTGGAGACTAAATGACCTGATAATGAATGATGTCAAGTGACAGAAAAAGAAGCCTCGCTATAAATACATAAAGTATAGATGACCCACGCTGAACTGTCCCGCCAAACTCAATGACAGGGGGGCGCTACCATCGTTCAACTATATGGTTTCCAACATGGCAAAAATCTGAACCAGCGATCCGGTATTGACGGTGGCGCCCCACTGTCAATGTCATCGACAGGACAGTCCAGTATTTTGGAACTATAAGTACATGTTTGTCACACACACAAGAGTTTGATGTTGAATTTCGTAGTCATGTCATGGAAAAAGAAGCCTTGCCTTAATAAACACATAAAGTAAGTTTTACTATAAAAGGTGTCCACTTACCGGGTCAGTGCTGAACAAGAGCTGGCGGTACTTGCGGCGGTTCTCCTCGGTGTTCTCCACGCCGATGTCCTGGAGACGCTTGCCCATGGTTCCTGAGAGCAAAGGTTCAGGTTTGGTTCCATTCAAAGCCATAGATTTTTGGTAAGGAAAGTCAGTTCCAGTCAAAGCAATAGACATTTTGGGAACGAGGAAAGACAATTCAAATATAGTTAAGTCCAATTCCAGTGAAGTAGAACTCAGGAGCCAAAGCCCAAGTTCAGAAATGACACATTAAGTTGGATCTACGTGACTCATTTTAGAAAAATCAGGGTTTTCACCTAAAACCTAAATTACCCTAAAAGGCGGTCAATTCGCGCCGCGACAGGCAGAGGCGACTGAGACAAGAGATAGAAACCGCGACCGTTCATTGACTTGGGTGTCTCGTGACCTTTTTTTACTCAGGAAAATGGCCTATCCATACCTACCTGCCGTGATAACACGTAACAAAGTCAAAGTTTCTTTATTTGTTTAGACTAATAATAGTTCTTACAAATCGTCATTTTGCTCTTAACATGAATTTTGTTTTCAAAGGAGTCACTTGAAAATTACGGATTGATGGTGAAAACGGGCATCAGTCAAGCAATGGCGCGGTCTTTTGTCTTGGACACTTGTCTCTGTCGCGGCGCGAACACAATTTCATTTCAATACACATTCTACGTTCCCTTCGCGTTGGTAATGTGGTGAAGCGAACGCGATGATGACACAACCAGTCAACCTTATTTTGGACTTTGCTGCTTTGTGCTATAGTTCAAACTCGAACCCACATTCTTGATTCAATGGTTAAAGTAAATTAGACTTTAACCCTCTGTGTTAAGACTCACCAGTGGACTCATCGGCAGCGAGGATACCCTTGCCGGGAGCGACGATCGCCTGCGCGATCTTCTTCAGCTCCTCCTGCAACTCGGGGGTCGGGTACTGGAAGTAGGTGCTCATTGTGGCTGTGGACAACAAGATTTATTAGTCAAACAGTCGAGACATGGCTTACGGGACTATTCCCACCTCTCGTTCCCACCACTGCAACTCCTGTGTAGCCAGGATCTACAGCTTGACCGCCACAAAAACCCAACCAATGAAGGTCAAGTTTGTCCCGGGGGAAAGTTAACAGTCGAGACATGACTTGGGTGTACCCTGGATCCGGTCCAGGGGACAGTTTGATACAGGGTACTGGGTAACAGTCAAAGAACAGTCGGTGAACCCTGGTTCCGGCCCAGAGGACAGTAGGTACAATACGGTTTATTAATCTAACAGTCGGAGACAGTCGGTGTACCCTGGTTCCGACCCAGGGGGCAGTACAATACGCTTTATTATCAAACAGTCAGCGACCAGTCAGCTTGGGTGTATCCTAGATCCGGTCCAGGGGGCAGTTTAATCCAGGGGCCGCAAATCAGATATTTTTAGACAAGGTAAGGTAATTATTTCAGAAACCAGTCGATGTACCCTGGATCCAGTCCAGGGGACAGTTTAATCCAGGGGACGCAATGAGATATTTTTAGGCAGGGTAATACGTCAATAGCCTGGAGGCCCGTCAGCATGGGCGTACAGGTTCTGACCCAGGGGAGACGTCTGACCCAGGGGAGACGTCTGATCCAGGGGAACAATCAGATTGTTTTAAGCAGGGTAATGCGTCAATAGTCTGGAGTCCAGTAAGCATGGGTGTACAGGTTCTGACCCAGGGGAGACGTCTGATCCAGGGGAACAATTAGATAAAATATTTTTAAACAGGGTAATGCGTTAATAGTCTGGAGTCCAGTAAGCATGGGTGTACCCTGGTTCTAACCCAGGGGACATTTAATCCAGGGGAAGCAAATCACATTTTTAGGCAGGGTAATACATCAATAGTCTGGAGGCCAGTCAGGATGGGCGTACAGGTTCTGACCCAGGGGAGACGTCTGATCCAGGGGAACAATTAGATAAAATATTTTTAAACAGGGTAATGCGTTAATAGTCTGGAGTCCAGTAAGCATATGTGTACCCTGGTACCGGCCCAGGGGGCAGTTTAATCCAGGGGAAGCAAATCTGATTTTTAGGCAGAGCCATAAATACGTCAATCATCTGGAGGCCAGTCAGCATGGGCGTAAGTACAGGTTCTGACTCAGGGGAGGCAGTCTGATTCAGGGAGGGGCAAATGAGATATTTTTAGGCAGGGTAATACTTTATAATTCAAATAGTCTTGAGAGATCAGTAGGTAAGCATGGGTGTACCCTGGTTCTAGCCCAGAGGAGGCAGTCAAGAAATAAATATGTATGCCCAAAAGCAAAATATTTTTCTAAGAAAAAAAAATTGGAGGTGTGTCTTTAAGGAATAATAATACCTAATTACCCAAACCAGTTTTACAAGTTATCTAGAATAAATTATTCAACATTAGTTTACGTCAGCTGGTGGGTGTGTCTATTAGTGTTGCTGGGTATCGTACAGATAAAATAAGTGACATTTAACTTTTCCTCCGATAAAGAACTGAGCCGGACTCAATTATCAGTGTAACAATTTTATCTTGATTTTTGTACACTTGAATAAGTGAGTTGAGTAATTATGTTATAGCTTAAAATATTGATACCAAATTATACTGGTAAACCATTGGAAAAAGCTTTAAATTAGTTTATGTAAGAAGTATGTTTATAACTTCATTAAGTGGGTAATTTAAAATAAAATAAAAACTAATAATCAAGTTAAAAATAGAAATTCTAAAATTAAAAGTTTTGGTGAAGAGANTGAAGAAATTTTTGAAAAGAAGACTAGTCTCTTACAAGAACTATCTAAGAAGATCATTTCTTCTTTAGAATGGATAATTAAATTAATTCTTAAAAATGGTTTACAGTTTCCTAATCACTTTAAAAGTTTTTGAACTAAGTGTGAAGTAGAAAGAGAGAAGTTCTGACAGAGTAAACATACCCTTGGTTCCAAACCCAGGCATCCATCCTGACTCTGGCGGTCCCTTTTTACCTTTCCCTTTACCCTTTGGTGCCATTGTGATTTGTAAATTTTATCAAAATATAATAAATTGTAAAATTTCACTTAAAAATAAAGGAAAAATCTTATACTCGACATTATAAAACGGTTCTATCAAAAACTCACCAAAACTTATCACTTTGAGCTTGTCAGCAAACTTTCAATTGTTTTGATTTGTTGACAAATTTGAATTTCGAAAAACGGTTTGACAGCTCTAGTGATGCTAAAGAAATTAATGAGCTATTTACTTCTATTTTTTATAACTCAGAAGTAGCTCATTTTTTTTGTATATGAGCCAAAAGAAGGCGTGGTCGGGGGTGGCGGTCGACAGGGAAGGGTAGTTTAAAAAAACATAATGATGTAACGTGAAAAAAGTAATAATCATATTATTAACCTTTATTAATTTCAAACTCTTTTAATAGCTACGAGTTTTGAAAATGCAAGAAATAATATTAAGTAAAATATAACAAAATCTAATGGGTAGATACTTAACTTTTTAAAATTATTTATTTACTTACACACATTCTGTTTTTTAATTTTTTAAAACAGTTTCTTTAAATAATTTAAAATAATATTTTTAAAAACTAATTGCCATGTATGCTATTTCTAATAGTGTAATACGAGCCTGTAAAGCATTTTATAAGCCGTGATAAGATGTTATTGATAGTCATTATTAATAAGATTAAATTTCAGAATGTAGGGGATTCCTTTCTTCAACGTGGACACATTAATTTTTAAATAATTGATGGCTTCATATAAAATCTCCATAAAAAAAGACATTTTTATCACCAATTAAAATAATAATTGGTTGATAAAGAATGACGCCACTCCATTTTCATGAAGCAAAGTCAACCAAGTTCAAGATCAATTGAAACCGCCAAAAACAAGTTAATCAAAAGAGCTTTAATAAATTGCTTAAGGTATAACATGGAAATGAGAAAAGTCGATTTTTGACATTCCAATAAGATTTCCCAAAATAATTTTGATCTAGTAAATTAACCTTTACCAGTTTTCAATGTTGTGTCAAAAGGTGACCTTGAAAGGTCACTGAAAACGACATCTTGGATCGGCACGTAAATATAAAAGAGGGCGTATTTAAAGCTAAATAATGAAATAAAATATATTTTTATAAGTTTGGTACTGAAAAAAAAAGAATTGGACAATCATATTATAAGCAATAATTTCAATTGGTACTAATGACTGATCCACATATTTTGGAATGTCAAGTAGGTATTAAGACCGGTAATATTACCAATATTAAAATAAGATCGTTACCTAATGAAAAAAGCAAAGCATTTGTTTAAATTATTGAATATAAAATAAATAAATTAACCATGAAATCCAAATAAAATGTTATGAAATTCAGTGCACATGAGAAAAAAGAATCATTTTTTTACAATATTATTCATGTGAGATACTGTTCCGGTATATTTTAGATAAAAATATAATATTTCAATACCGACTAATTACGTACAATTTTCTCCAATTGTAACCTATAAAATGATGATTATCACTAACCCAAAGAAATACTCAGCGTATTGCGTAACTTTCCAATCTTAAATACCGTTTTTATAATCATGATAAAAGTAAAACGCAAATAAAAGTAAAAAAACAACTTACTATTGGTAAAAACTATGGAGACAAGACACAGACACTCCCGAACCGCAACTCAGTTGAACTACTGTCAAATTGAGCTAAAACGTAGCGAACGCACAACCCAAAGGTCATTTGAAGGTCTGTCGATACTGATAGGGGATCATTAAAATAGGACGCGATGTGAAGGAGGGCGCCACTTCTAAACAAAGCTGTCATTTTAGTATTGTAATTTTGTAGTTCCAATTTTCACCGCATTCATAAAAACCCAATGTATGGTAAGTGCTGCCATCTGTTAAAAATAAGTCGTACCAAATGATTCGTATGCTATTCATAGAATGCAGTTCCAAGCACACCTACACTTACATTCTGAGTAATAATAATATGTAGTTTCTATATAGAACGACAGATGGCATTTATCAGGCATTCCAAAAAAACTTGTTTATTTTTTATTAATTTTAATAATTTCTAAGTTCATAATTCTAAATTAATTAAAATTAATTTATAATCACTTAATTAAAAAAATACTTATAAGGTATATTTTGTAGTTGTTCTAAAACGAGTACGAATCTTAAAAGATAAAGTTGATAACATTAATTTTATTTCTTTTAAATTATGTAATACTATTTAACCCGTATTATCATTGTAACCTCCCATATCAATCTGAAGAGACATTATAGAGATGGTTAAAGTAGACTCACTATTGGATTTTATTGAAATACCTACTTAGGCTTGAGTTTTGCTGATCGATTGGTAGCGTAGGTAGCGGCACAGAATGAAAATAATTATAAGTAATACTAGTGTAGCGGCCTGCGTCCAGCGCTTCCCTGCTACCTTTACGATGCCATCGGTCCACCTTGTAGGTGGACGTCCCACGCTGCGTTTTCCGGTACGCGGTCTCCATTCCAGAACCTTGCTGCCCCATCGGCCGTCAACGTGGAAAGCATTACGGGAGGCCTATGTTCAGCAGTGGACGTCCTATGGCTGAAATGATGATGATGATGATGATGATGATGATGATGATGAGTTTTGCTGGCTTGACTTATCGAATTCCCGAATCTTTAGTTAACTATTTGAACTAATTAATAATACGATTTAATAGCTACATAAGTATTTTCTGATAAAAGAGCGATTTTAAAAAAAAACTGCTTAGGTACCTAATAAGTACCTACCTACTTGACTGCAGTGTTTAGGATCATGGGATGGGCGTACCCCAGCCCCTAGATTTTTAAGGGGGTATCCCCCGGGTACGCCGATGTTTGGGATCTATGCCTACTGTAGGTAAGAACTAGAAGGCATTTTTTAATTTCAGTAAGGCGGTTATCACACTGCGCCGCGCTCTGCCGCGAAGCGCGGGGCGACAGATTTAATCATTGTATGCAAGTGCCTCAGTTTGTATAGAAAACACGCGCGGCACTTCACACTGACAACGCGTCCGCGCGCGTGATTTTTTATATGAAAATCACGGGCTCCGCGGCAGAGCGCGGCGCAGTGTGATAACCGCCTACAACAAAAATAATATATCTTGGCATTTAGTATTTGTTGTAAATTCTACTGTATCAGTGTGTATTATGTTGATAAAGTTTATCAATGTTTATTAGACTGTCATTAGTCCAATTGAGGCTCTCTCTCAGTGAGCATTATTCTGAGTGAAGACTTAGCATTTATTTTGTGTATTTTGTTTTCATGTAAGTACGTATTTGAATATTCATATGAATTCTTAAGAAAAATTCTGGAGTGGAGGCCACGTACCGGAAAACGCAGTGTGGGACGTTCACCCACAAGGTGGAGTGACGACCTCATAGAAATAGCAGAAAGGCGCTGGATGCAGGCCGCTACCAACCGGGATGTGGAAGTCATTGGGGGAGGCCTATGTTCAGGAGTGGACGACCTGTGGCTGAAATGATGATGATGAAGTACTTACATTTTTAGTAAACTAAGGCTGTATGTATACAACTATGTAATTGTTTTAGCTAGTTTCTTTCTTTCCTAGAAAAGAAAAAAAAAACTTAACCATTTAACATTTTATTCAACCAAAACAATCTTCCTTTATCTACAAAAAGAAAGAAACTAATACAAATTACGAAACCCTGTTTCCTCAGCGAATTTTCGTAGAACATACCCGAATTCAATTCCCCAAGCAGATCCATTCCAATGTGAGTAGACCATCTTCAGCCTGAGAAAATGTGCATCCCTTCCACATCCTCAGGGAGACATCAAGTTCTATAGGCACATTTTTCCCACCTTCCAAATACAAGGGAAATTGCTACCCACTTACAAGCTTGTGGTCCAGTGTGAGCGATGCGATCGCGATCTGCTTTACTAGATAACAAATTTTGTGATCGTTCCTCTGTCTTTTTTTGTACATCAGCACATTTTTAAAATCAAAATGCGCTATTTTATAGCGCCTAAACTATGACAAATACTATACTAACAAGTTTATCACTACTAAAAAGGTGTTGTTTTTTCCCATTCATCAGATACAAGTAAGTAGTTGCTTTTGCGAGTAGTTGCGCCCGTATGAATTTTAATTTGTCAAACAAAGGAAAATTAACTCAATGTAAAATAGATTAATACCTAGGTACCTACTGTAGTTTTTTTATGAAAGACTCACATCATAAATTTAAATAGCACTAGCGACCCGCCCCTGATTTGCACAGAATACATACTTAAAAACCTTCCTCTTGAATCACTCTATCTATTTAAAAAAAACCGCATCAAATCCGTTAAAAACATAGAAACAGACAGACAGGAAAGCGACTTTGTATTATAATGTAAGTAGTGTTGTATTTCAGAACAATTACATTGCGCGTATATTTATATCATTAGCATCGCTCCCACTGGACACTTCCCTAACAAAAGTTATTATTTTGTTTGCGTTTCATACACGACTGGGTCCCGTAGGAGTTCGCCCCGTAAACTTTACACCTGTTCCCGGGGTCCGGTAATTTGATTCCCGTGAAGCTGTATCATTTCTAACCTCGTTTTAGTTGGGTGAAAGGTTTTTCTTGTGATTGGAAAATTATGGGACGTTTTCCGATTGAAATTATAAAAATAACTTATGCTATGAACGCTTATGCGGGAAGGCGCTGGATGCAGGCCGCTACCAACCGTGCGATGTGGAAGTCATTGGGGGAGGCCTATGTTCAGCAGTGGACGTCCTGTGGCTGAAATGATGATGATGATGATGATGCTATGAACACTATTAAAACCAAGAGAAAATTAAAAGTTCCAGTCATAAATTATCATAATAATCATAATCATATATAATATCTTTATTGCTTCATGTGGTACAAACAATTATCTACATTGTACAATAGGTTCAGTGCCATAAAACATTGTTTTGAATAAAATTATCTCGTAAACATTATCAATAACTTATGGTAACTTAGCTAAGCTGTATAATGGTCGAGTGTGGTTCTTTAAAATTTTTGCTTCGAAGATTATTTATTATCAAGTTTTTTTGGATAGATAAACTTGTGTCTCTTTTATCCAAATACCTACAAATAACAGCTGAAATGATTTTTTCACTAATATTATTTTCATCTTTATTATGCTTCTATTTCAGATCCTTCAGAATGACCACCGACTTTTCATACCCAACTCCTGAGCTGCAGGCCGAGCTGAAGAAGACTGCTGAAGCCATCGTCGCTCCTGGCAAAGGCATCCTGGCTGTTGATGAGGCTAATGGTAAGAGAATGCCAGCAAAGGTTTGCGGAATGTTTACGGGCTTACAAAATACCAACTGACTGTAAATTATATCATCATTTCAGTTGCAGGACAGGTCTCCAAAAATCATTTCCAGATTGACCGGTTTTTAGCAGCGCCTTCCTGCTACTTTTATGAGGTCGTCAGTCCGTTGTGACTGTATAATACTGCATAGATCTTTGACCAAGGGTTGTGCTAAGACTCAGGCAAGGTGAACACTTTTATAGTTGCTAATCAGGTAGTGTTGTGTAGAGTGTGAGGCCCGACCACAACATATCGGTCGATTAGCCCTGTAAGAGAAGAATTCTAGCACGCTATTACGTCTCAGGAATCAATCCTCTTTGAGAGCCTTCCACAGCATCATGGTATTCTTTGTCCTTTTAGCTACTCGGCTCCTTAATCACGACGTGGCACTTCGAGTAGAAGTTCTGTACATACCTTTCTCCTAATATAATGTACGTTTCTAGATGGCATCGGCAAACTCCTGGCTGCTGTGGGATTGGAGAACACAGAAAACAACAGGAGGATATATCGCCAGCTCTTGTTCACTTCAGACAAGGTAAGTTTGAGTTTGTCTCTACGGAGGCTCCAAATCAAATCATAAATCCAAATTATTATAATAAGCACCTATATTTTCATTTTGGATACTTACTAATTTATAGGTATGGACCAACCCAGTCTCATGCAGTTACCCATAATTTGTAACGTGGTAGGTGCTGTGCGGAGATCGAACCCGCGACCTCTGATGTAGAGTTCTAAACTATTCAACCAAATCCATTTTTAAAGAAAACAATAATTCCAGGGAAATATATTACACCAGTCCCTAAAAAATGCGTGGTGTTCAGGTGTTAATACAAAAAGTTCCTAAAATACGACCATCATGGGGACAAATAAAAAAGTTTGCCAGTTCCAAAGAAAAGAAACTGTGCACGAAAACGCCCCGAAAGAGTCGCTTCTTTTGTTAAATAATAAAAGGGATATCCTTAAGGGCTTATTCTGAATGGGAGTTGGTTTTTAGGCCACCTGGTTTCCTAATGTAAGAATGTACGAGCAGTACGAGCATTGTTCTTGTGGATGCAAGCAGTTAGGGACTTTATTCTTAGTCAGATTATTTTTTTGCTATACGAATTTCTTATGATCGATGATTGGTCTGTTAAGGTCTAAGTGGGTCAATTTCCCAAACACATTTTTTGAGCGGCGTAGCTGAAAATCATATGTTTTTTATGACATAGAACTTTGATTTTTTTTTACACGAAAATATACAGAGGTTACATTTTGAGGACAACATTATTAATGAGTATTTTCTTTTACAAATTCGACAAAAAATAATTGAACTAAGCGTTTCTAATTTTGGTGCAGTGTCCACATCCTTAATTTCNTAAGCTAGCTTCGCCCAATAGAGAAAAGTGTTCGCAAGAGACTCTTGCGAACACTTTCGAGCCTTGGTTCTGCTCTATCGCCTCTTTAATACTATTTGTATTAAAGTTGCGAACATCATGTTGCAAGGACTTCCATATCTGTCTATTGAGCTGCCGATGTGCCTTAGCGTCTCGGAGAGGCGCAGAGACATTGAAGGTCGTTCTGCTATAACGTTGAGGGTAAGGAATCCCTATGGATCCCTAGGGAGAGATCCCTATTACAGTTTTATTGTTTTTGGATTATTTTGATATTCATTTCGATGTTGGTTCTTTCAATTGTATTTCAATGTTATGTTATAGGAATCTGATGTTGATGGTTACCATACCAATTTGTTAAAAATTTATAAGTATTAAATAAGTAGGTATTTTCTAGTATTATTTAACAATTTTACAGATTTTGACTAAAATTGCATTGACAAAACAAATAAAATAAAATGAATAAATCAACATTTAGGTCCATAAAAGTGTGGCAAAATTAAACAAGTGTACTTATTCAATGGAAATATTCGTTTTTGTAATACCTTGGTTGAGGCAAAACTAAATAAGTGACATACAAAAACTAAATAACTGCAACTTAGTTGTAAAATACGGTTGTGGCAAAACTAAATAATTACATTTTTATTTTTTTATTTAAAATAATACAAAGTAACATCATCGAATACTATTGAATTAATAAAGGTAAATTTGCTGTATAAAATATCAAAAGACCTACAGTAAAATATTTTAACCCTTAAAAGTTATCGCCATTTTTAACGAAAAAAAACACAAAAACGTGAATATCTCGCAACTTTGGTTTTGTCAGTTATTTAATTCTGCCACGACGGTGACGACTGATGTTAAGTGAGATGCAGTCTAGGATGGTACATAATATTATTATCTGCGCTGTAAGGGCTTATTTATTCTCGCCTTGAAAATACCCGTAGGTATGTTACAGAAACTCGACTTATGCCCGTTTTCACCATCAATCCCTAATTTTTAGGTGAAAATTCCTGTTATGTGTTACCATAGGGGTCACTTTAAAATTAGGGATTGATGGTGAAAATGGGCATTATTCCTTGAAATAAGTATACCTACTCTAGTTAGACATTTATATTTGAGACAGATTTAAATTCGTCATCTACTAGTTAGACACATTTTTGTAGCTAAATAACGTTTCAAAAACCTAGGATGCTATATTAATGTTTTTTAGCTGATAGGTATGTATAGTAAAGCTTTTCTTCTACTTATCGTATGCGGTAGAGGTTGATGTTACAAGGTAATGATCGATAAATTATCTGCTATAAGAACTAAATATACTTACTTTAGAAGCGATTAGATTATTTCTTAGTTTGCTTACGACCTCATTTAACTGTTCATTAACATGTTTGCGCGTACAATAATATCACTAGCATCGCTCCCACTGGACACTTCCCTAACAAGTTATTATTTTGTTTGCGTTTCATACACGACTGGGTCCCGTAGGAGTTCGCCCCGTAAACTTTACACCTGTTCCCGGGGTTCGGTAATTTGATTCCCGTGAAGCTGTATCATTTCTAACCTCGTTTGATTTGGGTGAAGGTTTTTCTTGTGATTGGAAAATTATGGGACGTTTTCCGATTGAAATTATAAAAATAACTTATGCTATGAACGCTTATGCGGGAAGGCGCTGGATGCAGGCCGCTACCAACCGTGCGATGTGGAAGTCTTTGGGGGAGGCCTATGTTCAGCAGTGGACGTCCTGTGGCTGAAATGATGATGATGATGATGATGCTATGAACACTATTAAAACCAAGAGAAAATTAAAAGTTCCAGTCATAAATTATCATAATAATGATAATCTTATATAATATCTTTATTGCTTCATGTGGTAAAAACAATTATCTACATTGTACAATAGGTTCAGTGCCATAAAACATTGTTTTGAATAAAATTATCTCGTAAACACTATCAATAACTTATGGTTACTTAGCTAAGCTGTATAATGGTCGAGTGTGGTTCTTTAAAATGTTTGCTTCGAAGATTATAATATTATCAATACTCAATAATCAATACTCAATATTTTATTGCATCCATTATGTACTTAAAATTATAACATTATGGGCCCTGTAGGGCACGGCAATTAGGAGAGAGGAGGACCACCCTAGATCAACCGAAAGATGTCAGAAGTTCTTCTTTTCAGCCAAATGACGTCCACTGCTGGACAAAGGCCTCCCCCAAGGTTTTCCACAATGAACGGTCCTGCGCTGCCCGCATCCAGGCTCTTCCCGCGACCTTTACCAGATCGTCGGTCCACCTAGTAGGAGGCCTGCCCACGCTACGTCTTCCAGCCCGTGTCTTCGCCATGTCAGAAGTTAGAGCCTTTTTATCAAGCTTTTTTAGCTAGACAAACTTCTCTCTTTTAGCCAAATACCTACAAATAACAGCTGAAATACTCTTTTCACTAATATTTTTTTCATATTTATTATGCTTCTATTTCAGATCCTTCAGAATGACCACCTACTTCTCATACCTAACTCCTGAGCTGCAGGCCGAGCTGAAGAAAACTGCTGAAGCCATCGTCGCTCCTGGCAAAGGCATCCTGGCTGTTGATGAGGCTAATGGTAATAGAATGCCAGCAAAGGTTTGCGGAATGTTTACGGGCTTACAAAATACCAGCTGACTGTAAATTGTATCATCATTTCAGTTGCAGGACAGGTCTCCAAAAATGATTTCCAGATTGACCGGTTTTTAGCGGCCTGCATCCAGCGCCTTCCTGTTACTTTTATGAGGTCGTCAGTCCGTTGTGACAGTATAATACTGCATAGATCTTTGACCAAGGGTTGTGCTATGACTCAGGCAAGGTGAACACTTTTATCGTTGCTAATCAGGTAGTGTTGTGTAGAGTGTGAGGCCCGGCCACAAAATATCGGTCAATTAGCCGTGTAAGAGAAGAATTCTAGCACGCTATTACGTCTCAGGAATCAATCCTCTTTAAAAGCCTTCCACAGCATCATGGTATTCTTTGTCCTTTTAGCTACTCGGCCGGCTCCTTAATCACGACGTGGCACCTTTCGAGTAGAAGTTCTGTACTTATTCCTTTCTCGTACTACGTTTACATATTATAATGTACGTTTCTAGATGGCATCGGAAAACTCCTGGCTGCTGTAGGATTGGAGAACACAGAAAACAACAGGAGGAGGTATCGCCAGCTCTTGTTCACTTCAGACAAGGTAACTTTGACTTTGTCTCTACGCGGAGGCTCCAAATCAAATCATAGATCTAAATTATTATAATAAGCACCTATATTTTCATTTTGGATACTTACTAATTTATAGGTATGGACCAACCCAGTATCATGCAGGTATTCATAATTCGTAGAGAAACGTGGTACTGTGGTGCTATGCGGAGATCGAACCCGCGACCTCTGATGTATAGTTCGAAACTATTCAACCAAATCCCTTTTTAATGAAAACAATAATTCCAGGGCAATATATTAAACCAGTCCCTAAAAATGCGTGGTGTTCAGGTGTTAATACAAAAAGTTCCTAAAATACGGCCATCATGGGGACAAATAAAAAAGTTTGCCAGTTCCAAAGAAAAGAAACTGTGCACGAAAACGCCCCGAAAGAGTCGCTTCTTTTGTTAAATAATAAAAGGGATATCCTTAAGGGCTTATTCTGAATGGGAGTTGGTTTTTAGGCCACCTGGTTTCCTAATGTAAGAATGTACGAGCAGTACGAGCATTGTTCTTGTGGATGCAAGCAGTTAGGGACTTTATTCTTAGTCAGATTATTTTTTTGCTATACGAATTTCTTATGATCGATGATTGGTCTGTTAAGGTCTAAGTATATCCTGATTCTGCACAGCATGTCGATGGAAATTCAATTAAATTCCAAATCACAACTTTTCAAAAAGAACAAATCATGTTGGCATAAATATAGTTTTTAATTTCAATCATTGATCTTCTTTACTTAGTTGTTTACTAGGGAATATTTACAAAATAATCTTAATTGATTTAAAAAAAATTGTGTGCTCTTAATTTTGATCCAAAATCATAAATTGATTTCGCACATTACAGCATTGATTTATTTAGCAGAATACGGATCTTCGACATTTTTATGCACGGGTTCCCTCCACGGAACCTTCATTTGGAATAAGTACTTTAAATGTTTGTATACTGATGAAGGAACCACTTACCAAACAAAAACATTGTAATAGGGCTGGATTTGGAATCTCATTATTTATTCATTAGTATCTTATGTTTAAGTAGCTATAGGGTCAGATTTGACCCAGAACAACCCTTCGTTGGATTTCCATCACAAATAGACATGAAATGCTACTTATTAAGAAGTAAAAAATCTTACATGGGCGTATCCAGAAGTCAGGCAGAGCAGCTGCCAACCAAGTTTCGTAGTTAAATGTCTAAGCACACCAACCAAAATCTAGTAAAAGAACTCGGTCTGTCAGAAAATCTGAACACTCCTGCCAGTTAATGAGCCATGGTAGCTCTTTTTCTCCTTATTCGTTTCGCACTTGATCACGTTGCGTTGAGGCGTCCATGGTAGCTCTTTTTGTTTCGTTCTTGATCACATTGAGGCGGTCACTTGGTGAGGCGTTCACAAAGTGGACCGACAACATCATAAATGTAGCAGGAAGGCGCTGGACGCTGGCCGCTACCAATCGATCAGCGTGGAAATCATTGGGGGAGGCCTTTGTTCAGCAGTCGGCGTCCTATGGCTGAAATGATGATGATGATGTTCACTCGATTGACCTGCCACGCGATCGGGTTCCATGGCTTTATTGGCAAATTTCATTTAATTTGCTTGTGGTCTCAGTAACCCTCAAGATAAAGAAAACAAAATACTGTAAATCTCAAAAAGACAGACATTAATTTCTACTTGAAATTTTTCAGGCTCTCTCCGACCACATATCCGCCGTGATTCTCTTCGATGAGACGGTCTACCAGAAGACTGACGATGGCCAGTCCTTCATCGAGGTGTTGCAGAAGAAGAACATCATCCCCGGCATCAAGGTTGACAAGGATGTGGTGCCTCTGTTCTTGTCTGAAGACGAGGTGACCACCCAAGGTATGGCTCAGGTTTATGAAAACTTCTTTATAGAGGTTTAAGTAAGCTTAAACAAGTGACAGATAAAAAAATCGTTCAAAGAGGCTTAATTATCCTCAATATTTTATTTTTATCCATAAAGAGGTATATCTCTTGTATCCTATATGTATAAATAGGTATCCTGCATCTCACCTAATGGAAAGTGATGATCAGGCCCAAGGTGGAAACGAGTTTCAGCCAGAATCCTAAACCACAGAGGAACTGGCTATCTTTCTTCCACCAACTGCCAGAACACTTGCAACAACGCTGATAACACTACTGCTATGCAGATTTAGGTAAGATGGTGGTATCTATCCAGGTGGACTTAGAACAAGCTGTGCCTCGAACTAAACCAAGCAGATAATGTTGCCCCTACTGAGAATCGAATCCAAATTCTTGGTCTGAAGCAGATGATATTACCACTAGTTCACAGTTTATTGATATCAACTTGTCCCTTTAACAATATTTATTATTCCAGGTCTTGACGACTTGGCCACTCGCTGCGCTGAGTACAAGAAGCAAGGGTGCCGATTCGCCAAGTGGCGGTGTCCACTGAAGATCGGAGCCCACACTCCTTCAGACCAGGCCATAAATGACACTGCCCATATCCTGGCCAGATACGCCTCGATATGCCAGAGCCAGGGGCTGGTGCCGATTGTGGAGCCAGATGTGCTGTTAGATGGTAAGCTTAGGCAAGATCATTATTGCCATGAGATCATTTATTTAGTATCCACTGCAAGAGCATGTGGCACGACCCTCTCTAATACACTCGGAATCAAATAAATCGCACCTCCCGCGACAAGCACTTATCAAACGTATGCATCCCCACTTCCCACCATCGTTGGTACCATTTGAAAGCCTAGTTCTAAGCTTCATTTCATTAAAGGAAAGGTTTTTACCCCAAAAATGTGTCTTTACAAGGATCCAGAGTCACTTCTTCAAAAAATAGGTAGTCACGCTATAGCCATTTTTTATGACTATAAAACTGTTAAGTTGGGATTAATCGCTATCCATCTGTTAAAGAGGACACGTGAGATCTTTATTTGGTTTTATAACCATAAAAATTGGTCTAATTGATCCCAGAGGTGAGCCCAAAGTGAGGTCTATTTTCAAGTCACATTTATGGTATATGTTAATCACTTATTTAGAAATGAAATGTATTTTTCTTTAAGGATATTTATTGGGCTTTCAAATAACACCAATATTGTTGGGGTACCATGATTGTGTCAGAAGAAAATCCTTAAGGAAGGTGCGGTTTATTTGATGTTGAGTGTATATATTTTTTTGTATCTCACCGATGGTAAGTGATGATCAGGCCGAAGGTGAAACCCAACCAGTGATATACACAAATATGTGTAGAGGATTTGGCCCATTCTGGTCTACTGTTGAGGAGGCCTGATTTTAGCATTTGTTCTTCGTAAGTCTCCTTTTAGCATATTTATCGTTAAGATAGTCAATGTTCGTGCATAAATTAACTTCTAGTAATAACGGTCGATGGAGTATCACAATAATATTTTAAATACCTACTCTTACTAAAGATGTTAATAATTTAAAAAGGTCGTATTCATAAAATCATTTATAAGTAACCCTCACACTTGTGGGTCAAATAATGTTTATTACGAGTTAAGTAAGCTCCTATTAAAACTGCCCTGTCATTTTATAACTATTACCGCTGCCATTTACGGTCATATAATATTTACCACAAACCAATGAGTCCTATCATGGTAAAATTGAACAGTAAAGCATCTTCGAGATTGGGACCACTAGTTTTTTATAACAACGGGGAAGTTTTTGGACTGCACCTCCATAATCGTCATCATTTCAGGCACCTGACGTCCACTGCTGAACATAGGCCTCCCCCAATGATTTCCACATCGCACGGTTGGTAGCGGCCTGCATCCAGCGCCTTCCTGCTACCTTTCTCAGGTCGCCGGTCCACCTTGTGGACTGCACCTTATGGAAAGTAATAATCAGGGTTCAAACAAACTTGACCTTCATTGGTTGGGTTTTATGGCGGTCAAGCTGTAGATCCTGGCTGCACAGGAGTTGCAGTGGTGGAAACGAGAGGTGGAAATAGTCCCGTTAATCAGGGTTTCCAGAATTCTGAACCGCCATTTTATCTCCAACTGCCGAAAAAGTATGTCGTTAACATTGTTGTTACAGAATAAACTAACCAACTAATTATTTTTGAGATTCTGAATGCAAGATACGCTCTATTTAGCAAAATCTGGAGTCCACCCACAAGGTGCACAGACCTCATAAATATAGCAGGAAGGTGCTGGATGCAGGCCACTACCAGTCAGCCAGTCGAAAAATCATTGGGGGTGGCTTTATGTTCAGCAGTAGACGTTTTATGTGGCTGAAATGATTTTTTTTAAATATTTAGCTATTTATATTGCACAAATTACTAATAGTCCCGTTAGCCTCTTGTTTTAAATAAGCTTGTGTTACGAGTGGGCTCACCACAATGGTCGAGCGGTGGTGGGATTTGAACCCGCGTTCCTCGGATCTCGAGTCGGCCAGTCCGACCACTTCACCGTTGGGCTATCGTGGCTATCAATGATGATACGGTGTATAAAATTCTATTTGGTATTCTTGATGTTCCTTTTTACTATGACCCTATTAAGTGCCACGTCGATCCAGCTAGAGTATTAATTACTGGCGAACTAATTATAATGGCTTCGAGATCATTTATTCATCATTTGGTCACAATCGTACTAGGCTATACTGACCCTTAAATCAATGAAGATAAAGTTCAGAACAGACTGTTCATTTAACTCATCGATTTTGCCTGAACCTGAATGTATCGGAAACATGGTATTTGATAGAATGATTATCAATTTCTGATAATAGTTAATTTTGAATTCAAAGTGCGTCATAATCAATTTCAATTAAGTACATTAAATCCCTACGATCATGTTTGTGCGCCATCATCATCATCATCATCAGCATAAAATATACCAATGCTGAAAATTGTGGACATAAGCCTCATCTAATAATGCACCCAACTCTGCTACATAAGTTTTTGTAAATATTTACTCTATATTTTATTTAAAAACCTCCCACTAGGTGGACCGACGATCTATTATAGGTCGCAAGTACCTGGATGAGGGCAGCGCAGGACCATACATTGTTGTAATCCACGGGAGAGGCCTTTGTCCAGCAGTGGACGTCATTTGGCTGAAACGATCTTTCCTTTGATATTCTCCAAATTTTTTCTTTACCAGGTGACCATGACATTGTGAGGACTCAGAAGGTGACAGAGGTAGTTCTTGCAGCAGTCTACAAAGCACTGAATGACCACCATGTGTACCTTGAGGGTACTTTGCTGAAGCCTAACATGGTAAGTTTCAAACCAACCATATGCCTGAAATTATGATGATGATGTACACACCATAGAAAATCACAGACCCATAGAAGCAGATATGAAAAAGCACACATTTTTTTGTGCGGGGGATCGAACCTACGATCTCTAGTAAAGTAGTTCGGTACATAGTTATTCTGCACTTTAATACACAGTAAAATTAATTTTCCTCTACATTCTAGATCTTTACAAATAAAAAATATTACCCCAGATTGCGGGAGACTAGCATTTGCTCGTGGTTAGATATTTAAAGACCTGTAACATATTTCGATAGTGTTATCCATTTTACAAGTCGAATCTTCTTTCAGGTAACTCCTGGTCAGGGCTATACCCCTAAAAGTACTCCAGAAGAAATTGCAGCAGCGACTGTCACTGCGTTTCTGAGGAGTATTCCAGCTGCTGTACCTGGTAAATAACATCTTAATTCGTCTCTATTACTACTTACTAGCGGTCGCTTGCGACTTCGTACACGTGGATCCCGTTTTACCCCCTTAGGGGCCCGTTCCCGTGGGAATTTCGTGAATTCCTTTCTTAGTGCACCTCTACGGTACCTAAGCTACGTCCCTTTCAAATTTCTGTGTGCCTAACGTTTAGCCGTTTAGGCTGTGCGTTGATTTGTCAGTCAGTCAGTTTCTCCTTTTATTTATTAATATATATATTTAGATAACTCTGTAGTATAGTCAAAGATTTGGAAACCATCCATCAGAATGTTTGAGGTTCTCTTATGGTAAAAATCAACAGTTGCTAGTTACAAGTTTGGTTTGTACAAGCAATTTGGAATCGGGCAGTGTCTATCAGACAAATGTACCCAAGACCTTCAGTTTAAATATACATAGAAAAAGGCAAAGTCTTATTGAGTGACACGGCATCATCTATGAAATCATTTAGTAATCATCGACTCTACCACCAGGCATTACGTTCCTCTCCGGTGGCCAGTCTGAAGAAGAAGCAACCCTGAACCTGAACGCCATCAACAAGGTCCAGATGAAGAAACCCTGGACTCTGACCTTCAGTTACGGGCGAGCTCTCCAAGCTTCCGTCTGGAAGACCTGGGCTGGAAAAGATGTCAATGTGAAGAAGGCGCAAGAAGAATTGTTGAAAAGGGCCAAGGTAATGAACTTTTTCAGTTACTGTCCCCACATAAGTAAGCTCCTTTTGTCCCCAGTAAGTCGCAGAGAAAACTGGCAGCGTCAATATTGTACTTTGAACTGTTTTTATATTATTTTGATTTAATTCTGAAGGTCCATAGCATTATCAGCCTGGAAAGGCATCAACACCGTATCACTTTTCGCCGCTCTGTCAACCACGAGGCAAGACGTTTACGTTACAGTGCGGTTATGTGTGCGTTGCAGTACGGAGTTTCATACAAAGAATACTGACCGCCTCAAGTTGATACCTATTATCCGTTTATTTACGATCCGTTTCCGGGTTGATAAGTGCTTCGTTATAGCGGGTTCCATGATAGCCAGCTTTTTCCATGGGACACAATTGGCCTTCACTGGTATTGGTGCTCAATCAGTCGATCCTTGTTGTTCAGGAGTAGGTAGCAGCAGTGGTAACGAGAGGTGGGAGTGAGAAGAGTCCCGTATCCTGGCTTTTTATTAAGATAATAAATAGATGAAGTTTAAGAAAATGTTATTGATTGTTACAGGCTAACGGTCTGGCATCTTTGGGAAGGTACGATGGTTCACTGACATCAGCTGCAGGGGCCAAGTCCAACTTTAGCGCGAATCATACTTATTAATGATAGAGCAATGTAAAAAGTCAATATATAAAAGAAAGTCGTGTTAGTTACTCCACTTATAACTCAAGAACGGCTGAACCGATTTAGCTGAAAATTGTCAGGGAGGTAGTTTAGAGCCAGGAGAAGGACATAGGATACTTTTTATCCCGTTCGAAATAAAAAAAAAGTCTGCTTATTTATTGCCATTAAGGCGGAAAAAAGTTCGCCGGGTCAGCTAGTTGTAAATAAAAATCAACATTTTCGAACGTATCAATGTACTCGTAATAATTTTAAGAACATAAATATAATACTCAATTGTTTATTGCATAACCACATTCACATTAGGTCTTACAATTTAGGCAGTTATACAATATGGACCCAGTTAGGGCACAGCAACTTTAGAAAGAAGGCAGAACGATGATCTTAATTTTCAAAATAAATTACTAATGCACAGATTGTCGTCGTGTTCGAACTTACGCCCGTATTCATAAACGATGCTTGGTTAACTGATGCCACAACGACGTATTCCATTTAGAGCACCCGCCCAAATAGCACCTGCACGAATAGAACCCACACGAATAGCACCTGGCCTATTCCACTTAGAGTCTTAGAACTTTCGATATTTTGGGCAGGCACTATTCGTGGAATTAAAATATTTTTATTTCAATAGGTGCTCTAAGTGGAATAAGTTGCCACAACCACCTTTTTTCTAGAGATCACCCTACGTTTTCCAAATGAAAACATTTTAGGAGGCAATTTTTGTTTCATTAGCCTTTTCTGGAATCATTAATTTAACATTAATCCAAAATTAATAATTTCCAACAAGCAGCTTTTATGCTAGATTACAAATGATATACAGCCAAAGTTCAAGCACCAAGCAGAACTTTGCCTGGGTGCTAACTGGAGCGTGTCTAGATCTAGACCGTCTTTATCCGCAACTTCGGCTGCTACGAAACTTGGCCTGCGACTTGCATAATGCATACTTATGTAGGTAAGTATTGGCCATATTATCTTACATTACATTAGGAGACCTTTAATGCAGGGCCATAATATAGAGGTATTCTGTATTGTACTGATTAGGTACGCCTCATAAAACTGACAAAATAAGATTATAAGAAGAATACTAATATCTATAATGATGTAAAACAACAAAAGAAAGTCCGTAAACGAACTAAAGTCGCTGACATAGCCCAACGGAAATGGGCAGGGCACATGTATTGTAATACATAGTACGCAGAACTGACGGCCGATGGGGCAGCAAGGTTCTGGAGTGGAGGACGCGTACCGGAAAACGCAGCGTGGGACGTCCACCAACAAGGAAGACCGACGACATCATAAAGGTAGCAGGAAGGCGCTGAACACAGGCCGCTACCAATAGATCAACATGGTGTGGCGACTACGTCCCACTTACGCCTCATACCAATTAATTAAAATATACTTAATTGTAATACTTCTTGTACAAACTTAAGATGTAAATGCTTTGTTAGTTATAGCGTGTTAATTTTAGAGCATGGTAATTTTAGTTTCTCACACACCTGCAATTTTAGGATTTTATTGTCGGAGTGTTTAACTCAAATCTTTTTAGTGTTTCGCCTCATGGAAGCAGTGGACGTCCTATGCTGAAAGGATGATGATGATGAAAACAACAAAATTAGTAATAATTGAAGAGACCCACTGTAGTTGAAAGAAACTTTAGCATATTTCCATTCATAGCATAAGCAGTCGATTCTTAGTGTACCTATTGCCAACTAAAAAAGGACTGTGATGAAATGAATAAGTACAGGAAATTGCACCAAAAATGTTATTATCCTGTAATAAAACATTATCTTTGAACATTATTTAATGAAAAGCTACTCTTTAATAATAAATACGCAGCCATTAATTAAATCTGCTCTCTGACGAGGGTGATATTTCAGAGGAATAATTAAGATTCATAAGCTAACTGCATTAATCACCTCTAGGTTAATTAATTTTGGGAATTCTTATTATTCGTACTTCTGTTTGGCATTGAATCTGAGTTGAGGGTATATTATTTTCTTTAATGATTTAAGCATAAAGAGTGAAAGGAGTAATCCTACTCTTAGAAAGAAATACATTAATTTTAATAATTTAAATTACGTTTATTATAGTTATTAACACTGAACTTAGTTTTATGTTAACTTTGAAATAACAGCGCGTCCACATCTCGAAATCCTAGTTATGGCTATTTCGAAAATGCTCACGACTAGATATGGAAAAGAAGAAAAGCAAAGAAATTTATGGAAAAGCAAAGCAAAGATACTATAAAGTAAACGATTATTTAAAAGTGACAAGAGTGCGTGGATTTTACCTGCCTAGCTTGCACTTATTACGTGTCATGAAGTTATAAATTACTGTATTTGATTGAAAAAGAGTCAGACAAAGGTGACTGAGTTTCTTCCACCATTTCTTCTCAGCACCAGCCCATATGTTGTCCCGAAGTGGTGGTAGGGTAAGTTATATTTGGCACGTGTAAAGTGCCCTGGAAAGGGCCTATGTACAGAAAAAACTATTTCATTTTTTTTTTATGCATAACAAGGCAGGTATTTGACCACAATCGCACCTGATGTTAGTGGGATGCGGTCTAGGATGGTACATATCTGCCCTGTAAGTGCCTATTCACTCTCGCCTTGAAAAGGCCCGGATTATAGTTTTCGGGAAAGACAGCAACAGGCAATGAATTCCAGTCCCTAGCTGTTCGCATTATAAAAGAGTCATCGAAACGCTTAGTGCGAGCTGGTGATTTTATTTCAAAGAAATCCAAATTTTTACTCACTCTTAAAATTCTTCTACTGCAACTGCATATTTTTTAAACTACTTACTTGTGCACACAAAATGGTGGCCACACAATGTTAAATGAAAACTGTCTGGAATGTGTTGTAGGACCTGTCCAGCGTAGTGTGGTCTCTAAATCAGGGGACCACACGATTAATTACGAGGGGACAACCGCAAGCTCGGTTCGGATAGGGTGCCCATGCTACGGTGGGAGAGTCCTGTAAAAAATCTACATTTTTAAGTACGGATGATGGAGTCGATATTTTGTTATGCCCGTTTTCACCTTCAATCCCTTTTTAAGTGACCCCCTATGTAAACAAAATTCCTGTTACCATAGGGGTCTCTTAAAAATTAGGGATTGAGGTGAAAACGGCTATTAATCTTATTAATCTGTTCCATGGTATAGTCAACCACACCTCAGATATTTTTGTTGAAAAATGGCATCTATTTTTATTAAAACTGAATGTATAGAATGAGCGGCGTGGTGTACTCGTACATTGTGAAAGCTTGCTTTGACCTACAATAATATACCTCAGGACAATTGCCAGACAATAACCTAATACATACTCATTTTAGCCATTTCTGAGAAGAATCAGCGCAAAAAACTTAACCATTCCCGAAGTGTTCTGCTCCAGGGGCATGCAATTTTGTATCCCAAGTGCAGAAATAGCAGCCTAGTTGACCATCCTAAAATAGCTCACACTAGCACCCTTTCGACGGCAAAAGGTGTTCACAAGCCTTTGAACGCTTTGAGGAGAATCTTTGAAGGGAAGATCGTTTCCGTTCTACAAACAAGCATTTGCAGTTCATGTTTATTTTGCGGTACGGTTACAGGTCGTGTGGGAAACATCAACATTTATTTCTTGGCTTCCACCGCTCTTCCGCTGTAGTGATGGTATAGGACTCGATATATCGATACTTCTTCTTGGTTAGTCTACTTGTGATCACGACTGTAGCGACATAGCTGAAAGTTCAAGCAGTTATCATTACCTACCTACCGTTGGAGCTTCGTCGTTCTCAGTCTCAAATATCGACAACGTCGTGATGATTCCAAGAAGTGACTTTTTGTTGATTCTAAAATAGGTACTATAAATTCGAATAATTCGGAGATTAATCCTTCCATTCGAAGGGTCGACGATCTCGTGAAGGCTGTGGGATGCGATGCGTCTAAAATGAGAGACCCTGTAAAAATTTTAAGGAAGGTATTCGTCCAAATGGACGTCTTTTAGTTTATATCAGCTCTTAATCGTATCATTGCTTCTGAGCAGTAATTACAGTACTGAAAAGAAGCAATACGTATTATGAAACTTAGTCACTAATATATAGTAACAATGTAAGTAATACAATATGTACTAACAAGTCATGAGAATATCAGTCTAGTTACTTTGTTGCCAGTGGGTGAAAGAGCTTCTGCCAAAACTTGAATTTTCTCTCTTATCGATAAAATAACACACATCACTACTGGTCCATAAAACTCCCAGTTTGCACTGTAATGCAATAACTACATAATGGTACAATAGCATTCTGTTACAGCTGCAAGCTGCGAGCTTTGTTGGAAGGTTTATTTGGCACACTTTTATGTTTCTACAAATTAGGTACCTAGTTATTATAAAATGGTTTTAAAATGGCCAACAATATTGTTATAAATAATCAAACAACATTACATAGTATCTCAGTGATACTCTTCTATGTTCTATCATTGGGGGAGGCCTATGTTCAGCAGTGGACGTCCTATGGCTAAAAATGATGATGATGATTCGTCTATGTAAGTAGTACGTGTTACGATTTTGTAGGCATGTACAGTCACGGAATGAAAAGGTTCGTCAGTTTTCAAATTGATTCCTTCAACGAATCGCGAGCACATATTACCTTTTGAAACTATGTTATAGAATAATCTCGAGTTAGAGAAAATAATCTTTAACTGTTCCTCAGTAAAGTTCAAAATTATTCAGATCAAAGTTGTTTGACGATTTATCTTGTCAAGAAGATTATTATGATTGATAAACTAAAACCTTCTTGTTGGTTCAACCTGCCATTATTATTTCTTTTAAATAAAAAAAAACTATTGTCAATTGGTCAATGTCATCATTGCATTGCACTGATGGGATAGAAAAATAAACAAGCAAAACCTTATTCGTTAGCAAACGTCACATTTTTTTAAATGTTAGCAGCACTGTTTCTTGCACTGTTATGTTGGCAGGTTTGACTCTCACAGTACCTAGTGCAAGCGTAAACCGACACTAAGGTGACGAACCTTTTCA